ACTCGTAGCTAGGATATACCGCTTAGGAATAGTCTTCCCGTTACCGCTATTACCGACACAAATCGGATCCGGAAAGCTACTACTAAGTAGAAAGGTACTACGAAGACTAAGGGTATTCGTAACGTAGTTTAAGGGCTTAGCGTTCGCGAGGCAGAGGAAGCAATTCGAAAACAAACCTAGCCTCGAAGAGCTACTTAAAGGTCCCCGAGCCTACTACCTCTAAGAGTAAGAACCTAGTCTAAGGAAACGGTTAGTCGTAAAACCCCTACTACTAGCCCTTCTAGTACCTATAGGCAGCCTACTACTAAATCCTTAAATAGTAACGCTAGCCTACCTAAGGATAGTAATTAGGAAATAGATAACGTACTACCGCCTACCCCGAAGCCTACTACTAAAGAACTATCGAAGGGGGTAAACCCTCCGAGCCGGTAGAGAGCTACGCGGAAAGAGCCTAAGATAACTAACATTATAAAGAATCTTTAGAAACACTATAAGGACCCCGACTTTTAGGTAAAGAAATTCCTTAGTAGGAACGGTATATAGCTTAGCAATACTAAGGCCCTCGCCTATATTCCGGAGTGTTAAAAGCTCGTTATACGCTAGCTAAACGACAACGCGCTTGCTATAAGAATTCGGAAGCTAGAAAAGGATAAAACCGACAAGATCCCCTACTAGATTATAGAAATAGTAGATAGGGTAGCTACTTTAGCTACTAGGAAAGGTAGACCTAGGCGGCCTAAAGACTACCCTATTCTAGTCCTTACCTTCGCCTAGGAGTTCTTTACTAGCCTTAACGAGGAAGAAAGCTACGAGGAATACGAGGCCGCTAACGAAGAGGTTATCCGGGACCCTAATTCGATTAGCCGGAGAAACAGACTTAATTGCTATATAGTATAGGTGATTTTATCCGAGGTAGACGCCCTACCTAACGAGATGCTCTATATCGACTCTAGCTAGATTCGCCTCTTATTAGTCGACGATAACTTCGCCCTTATTTCTAGTCCGTATATTACTATTACTAGTAATAGGTGCCTTAAGATCCGCGCTCTTATTAATAAAGGCTCCGAGGGGAATATACTAAACGCGAAGTTCCTATAGCGAGCTAGCCTTACTCTTTTAAAGGGTCTTATTCTAAATATATAAGGAGCTAGAGGAAGAGCTAAATTTATCGGTATTAGCACTTCCGTTCCTATCTCTATCTTTAATGTCGAGTATAAAACCGACTTCCTTATTATACCCCTAGGGGATAACGACCTCTCTATTATTCTTAGTCGCCCGTAGGCTCGTAAGAACCGCCTTATCGCTTAAAACATAGACGACGGCTCCTAGGAAGGAACTATTTCTACGCGCGGGGGCCGCTCTACTACCTTTACTACCCTTGCTAGCTCTAAGAATTGTATCCTACTTAAGGAGCTCCTTAGTCGTAATAATACCTAGCAGTTAAAAAACTAGGTAGCGGACGAGAAACTAGCGTCGAGTCTGCCCCTTTTTCGAAACCGCTAGGTAGGAATATTATACGCACCGTTGCGACCTATTGTTTAATAAGAAATGTTATTATAGGATTATATAGCAAAGAGGATAGTAACCCTAGGGTATACTAGCTAGCTAGCTAGGGTATATTAATTAGTCTAGTAGTCGGCCCGCCCCCGCTCCCGCTACCTTTTCCGACCTCGCTTAGACTAGCCCTAGCTTATCTCGGCATTCCCGCTAGCCCCGGCATTCCCGCGTCCCCGCAATTGCCCTCTAGTAGTACCCTATACAAAAGCCGCTTAGCTAGGCACCCTATCTAGGAGCGGGTATACGACGACGTACCGGTCCTAGCTATATAACGCTAGTCCTTTCTCGAAGATCCTTCCTAGCTATACCCGACGATTAGCCTTACCTAGCTCGGGCGTATAGAGGCAATTCTCGAACCTATAACTCGTAACGACTAGGCGGCAATCCTTTAGTAGTCGGAAGCGAACAGGTTTTGTAACTAATATAAGCGGCACTATAGGTTTTAGAGCTTTTAAAGGTTCCCTACCTAGCTACTATCTATTAAGAAAATGCTTAAGGAAGATTCGGATACTAGCCGTACGGTCGGAGTTTATAGTATATATAAGAAAAAGGCAGATAAAGTAAGACCTATAGAAGCTAGTACTACGATAACCGGGAGTGTAACGACCGGTAGTAACCCTTACTAGAAAAAGAAACGGCTTACTCGAGAAGCGTTACTTCCGCCTAGAACCGGGCTATATAACTAGAAGTACCTAATTAAGAAGTTCTTAGATATACTACGTAGCTCGC